AATATTTATTTTTTTATTCATGAATTTGAATTTGAATTTGAAATCTTATTTTCTTTCTATTTAATCCAACAAATTGTTAATATTAATAAATAAATATAAATTTTTTTTTGTTAAAAGTATTTTAATAATTTCAATATTTAAATTATATTTTTATTATGCAATTTAACTTAAAAAATATTGTTTTTAAATTTGAAATACATACTTTACTAACTTTTGTTTTTGATGTAAATATGTTACAAAATATAACACCATGCTCGTTGAATTTGAATATCGAAGCAATTAATAACTATGTATAAAACTTATATATGTTTAATTAAGTGAAATTATATATCTAAAAATTGTTTTATAGGGTGGATTGTATGCAGTTTGTTATGTAAAATTAATTAAATATTCTTGAAAAAATAGTACAAAACAAAATTAAAGGTATTTAAATAATATTACAGGATAAATTGCATATAATCTGTTTTGTAAAACAATTTTCTTATTATATATTTTAATAATCAACAAACAAAATGACCCCATGTCATTGATGCCGAAGGGTGGCTAAAATATATTTTAACCATTTATTTTAATAAATTTATAGATTATGGCTCTTCATCTTATATTATAACTTTTTTAGTTTTTTACCTTAATAAATTTATAGGTTTTAACCCCTTACCTTATATTATAATACTTTTAACTCTTCATTTATACGAGTTGAAGAAAATAACTTTTATTTAAAATCATGTTATAACGTTCTGTTAATTTTGTTAGTTGACTGTTAATTCTATTAGCTGACTGTTAACGTTCCGTTAGTGTTCCGTTAACAAAATTAACAAATAAAATTGAATTTAAATTTCATATTTTCTATAACAAAATGCTAACAAATGCTTACAATTAATTAATGAGCTAACAGTCAGTTAACAAAACTAATATAACGTTATAACTTAATGTTAAGTGAGGCTATTTTCTTCAATTCACATAGGTGAGGGACTAAAAGTGTCATAATATAAAGTGAGGGGTTAAAACCTATAAATTTATTAAAGTAATGGGTTAAAGTAGGTTTTTGCCGCGGAAGGACAGGGAGGAAAAGGCAGTAGCGGACAAGATGGGAAATAAATTGTCGTTGTGGACCTTGTGGTGATAAAAGAAAGAGCTTCTATAAAGGGGCAAATTAGGTGGCTGAAGATGCACGCCATGGAGCTGTTTCAATCAAAATCAACTGTTGATTCAATAATAAAGGACAGATTAACGTTGTGGAGTCACACTAAAGAAGATCTCAGTAAATAGAACATTTCTTCTTCCAAAAACTAATAATTAATGTTAAAATTCCTTTGTTACCTTTCCTCATCCCTTCGTAATCACTACCACCACCAACGCTCATGATGGATTAATGGAATCTTTGGTTGCTCAAAGATCAAAATTTAAGAACTTAGGCCTCCCTTTTTATTTGGGCTTGTAGAAAATCAATCACTATTAACAATTAAAATGTCAAAAATGATAATAATGAAATAACTTAAATATTCTTAATGAATTAATATAAAAAAATTTATTAAAGATATTTAAACAATTTTACAAAAAACTATAACATTTTAAATAAAATCTTAATTTTCACTTTTTTATTTTTATTTTTTTATATTTAATAACTGTTTGGGGGTGTTGGTGATGTAGGTGGATGAATCAGCAGCGGTGGTGACGTGGAAACTGACTAGGATGACACCTGAGAAAATGATGGGGGTTCTTTCGGCGGTACTCGTCTCATGTGCAGGAGGCTACATGTTACGGGCCATCCCATTCTGTTGGGTGATGATATCTCGCAGTGCATTCTCCAGCAAAATTAAGCTTTTAAAAGATGAACTTTTTAGCCAAGCCGGTAGAGCTGGGCAGCAATAACGGGATTCTAGAGGTTCAAGGTGATCACACAACTACCAAAAACATGATGGAGATAGGTTGTGCATTGTTGAGGAAAGGCAACTAAGATGTGAAATACATATGGCTCAAAGATTACAACTTGAAAATCACACTCATACGTAAATCATTATAACATGATAATAATGACAATAAATGTGACCTCTTTCATCCTTAGTGTAGATTTTTACTCTGT